CCCTAACTTTTGGCCAGGGATCCCTACTGAATGCAACCTTAATCTGATGCCGGGGGCCCTACTCTTTGTACCCACAGCCCTATGACACAGAGCCCTACCTTTTGTAATCCTAGCCAGAGTTTAGGGTGCCCTACTGAACCCAACACTAATCCTAGGCTGGGGAGCCATACACTTTCTAACTCTACCCCTAGGCAGGGGAACTCTACTGAAACCAACCCTAACCCTAGAATGAGGCATCCTACTGCCCCTCACAGTAACCCTAGGCTGCAGACTTTTTCCATTTGTAACCTTAAACTGGGTAAGCCCTGTGACCCCACCCCTAACCATACACAGGGGAGCCATGCTTACCCCAACCCCAGGCCAAGAAGCCATAACCTTTGTAATCCTAATGCAAAGCCAGTCAACTCTACTGACCCCAACCTAACCCTAAACCAGGGAGTCCTATTTTTTATAGCCCTCACCATACCTAGGGGACCACACAAACCTAACCCCTAATTCGGGGGCAGGGAGTCCTACCATTGTATCTAACCTTAGGCTGGCAAGCCCTACTGACCCCAACCCTAACCAAAGAAAGGGAGCCCTCCCCTTTGTAAAGCTAACCCTAGAATAGGAACACCTTCTGGCCCAATCCCTAATCCTACAACAGGAAAACCATATTCTTTGTAATCTAAACCTAGGACAGGGAGCCCTACTGACTTGACTACCTAACTCTAGGGCTAGTGAGTATTATCCTTTGTAACCATAACCCTAGACTGGGAATCCCTATTGACCACAACCCTACCCCTAGGATGGGGAACCCTACTGATACCAACTCTAGCCTTAGGATGGGAAGCCCTACCCTTTGCAACCCTAACCCTTGGCCAGGGAGCCCTAACCTTTGTGACTAATCATAGCCTGGGGAGCCTATTGACCCCAATCCTAGGCCAGGGAAACCTACTGACCCCACCCCTAACTCCAGGCTGAGGAGCCATACCCTTTATAATCTGAACTCTTGCAAAGGGATTAATATACACAACAGTTTGCTACCGTAAATGGAATTACCCACAGTTCAGTTTAAAGACAAAACTGGACTGATTTTAATTGAAGAATTCAATAAATGTATTTAAATTACAAAGTAGGGCTGTCAATTAATCCCACTTAACTCACACGATTAACACAAAAAAATTAATCGCACAGGTAAACAATAGAATACCGATTGGAATTTATTAAATATTTTTGGATGTTTTTCTACATTTTCAAATATATTGATTTCTATTACAACACAAAATGCAAAGTGTATAGTGTTCATAGTAAATATTTGCACTGTAAAAATGATAAACAAAAGAA